TTTCTCACTTCCACTGTATAGTCATAAGGGATTTGATTTAGGTCATACCTGAATGGTCTAGTGGTTATCCTTACTCTCTTCAGTTTAAGTCTGAATATGGCAATAAGGAGTTCATGATCTGAGCCACAGTCAGCTCCTGGTCTTGTTTTTGCTGACTATTATAGAGCTTCTCCATCTTTGGCTGCAAAGAATATAATCAATCTGATTTCAGTGTTGACCATCTGATGATGTCCATGTGTAGAGTCTTCTCTTGTGTTGTTGGAAGAGGGTGTTTGCTATGACCAGTTCTCTTGGCAAAACTGTTAGCCTTTATCCTGCTTCATTCTGTACTCTAAGGCCAAATTTGCCTGTTACTCCAGGTATCTCTTGGCTTCCTACTTTTGCATTCCAGTCCCCTACAATGAAAAGGACATCTTTTTTGGGTATTAGTTCTAGAAGGTCTTGTAGGTTTTCATAGAATCATTCAACTTCACCTTTTTCAGTATTATTGGTCGGGGCATAGACTTGGATTACTGTGATATTGAACGGTTTGCCTTGGAAACAAACAGATCATTCTGTCGTTTTTGAGATTGCATCCAAGTACTGCATTTTGGACTCTTGTTGACTATGAAGGATACTCCATTTCTTCTAAGGGCTTCTTGCCCACAGTAGTAGATGTAACAGTCATCTGAGTTAAACTGGGGACGTGTTAATTTCTTCCTTTCTGCCACCTACAGGTGAATGTGGTTCTGAACAACCGCACTTTAACAGTCAGGCAAAGGAGGAGGATTCTCTGAGGTCGGCCATTAAGTATGTATGTATAACAAAGGCAGTGAAAAGCAAGCCAAAGAAACAGTTCCATACGTAAAATTATTACTAGACAGCCAGTGGAAATTCACTGTATGAAGCAGGGAGTTCAAACTCAGTCCTCTGAGACAATCTAGAGGTGGAATGGGGTAGGGTAGGGGGTGGGAGGGCGGTTCAAGAGGGCCAGGACATGTGTATACCTATGACTGATTCATGTTGATATATGGCAGAAACCAACAATATTGTAAAACAATTATTCTCCAATTAAAAAAATTAGTTTCAACATGCATTCAGAATTGGCTTTTCCCTGCAACAGTACTATTAAAATTTTTTCATCACATGCATGTATTAATCTGTCATGTAACAAAACAGTTACATGACAAGAGTTAATAAAAATTTTGATTACCCTTAAGTATGCATTCAAATTTTAAGCCTCTCTCTCCAGAAGCTCCTTAATTTCAGACAAGTTCTTTAATCTTTTAAAAACAAAAGAGTTGCATATGCCAAGTCCCATATCAACAGAGATTTACTTAATTATCATTTTAGCTCACCCAGAAATGGAGTTGTAAGCTAGTCAATCAGGAATTGCCTAACTGGCACCAGTTAAGCAATCTGACTGATAGGCCCCAGTCATCCCCTAAAGAAAAGTAACTTTTCAATTACCAACCCAGTTTTTTGACCTGTATAAGTTCCTTTTCCCCTTCTGCCTATGAAAGTCTTCCATTTTACACTGGTCCTTGGAGCTCCTGTCTATCTAGTAGACTGGATACTGTCTGATTCAAATCAATTTTGCTCAAATAAAGCCTTACAATTTTTATTATGCCTCTGTTTGTCTTTAACAAATAACTTTGCCCTCCCTAACCACTTAGTTTAAGTTAAAACATAGCTTATCTCTGTATTATCTCACAAAACCCAGCATCTTCACAGTTTAGCTGTGAGAAAAGTAGTCTATACTAGCTCACATTTGGTTAACCAAAACAATATTGATTAGCCTAAAAAAGAGCAGACTATTTTATTTATAGTTTATCTACAAATTTCTTAAATTTGAGAGAAACCAATAAATATTCACTAAGATATTAATAATTATGGAATAGTATACATTAAAGGTTGATTTATTTTCTTAGTCCTCCCCTCCAAAGGAAATAAGTGTACCTTTCTAGAAATTATGTCAAAATTATTGAGTAATTGAATAGGCAACTTTTTAATTGAATGTTTACTAAACTCCAAGTATCTTTCCAGGTGCAGGGTATAAAGAGTAAATAAAAACAAAGTTGCTAACCTCACAGAGTTGACACTTTGGTGGGAGGAAACAGATACATAGTCATACAAGAATACATACTAATTATATCTGAAAGTTATGAGAAACATTTTAAAAGAAACAGAATAGACGAGAAAGTTGTTATTTTATACAGAGCTCTGAAAAAGCAAGCCCTATTTCTGAAAAACAATTATCTAGACTTCTATTTCTGCTTCCCTGACGCTGAAAAAAATTGAAGACAAGAGAAGAAGGGGATGACAGAGGACGAGATGGGTTGGATGGCATCACTGACTCAATGGACAAGAGTTTGAGAAAGCTCCGGGAAATAGTGAAGGACAGGGAAGCCTGGTGTGCTGCAGTCCATGGGGTCGCGGGGTCCGACACAACTGAGCGACTGAACAACAAATTCCTGCTAATAAAAGTTTCACCTAACTACCAGTCTTCAGTAACTCTTTTCCCAAGTCAGCCTTTTAGGAACTCACAGCCAATGGGGGAAAGGGAGTGTAAGCAAGCGGAAAATGAACAACCTAAAACCCAAGTTTTCAAAGGAGCACCAGATTGTTCTTTCTGGGCTGGGCAGTAGCTTTCAACTCTTGTCATCTGAGGTACTTCGTTTGTTTCAATTTTTTTTTTTTTTAACCCAACTGTTAATGCAGTTCTGTAACGTTCCTAATTCCCTTTATTGATAAAGAAAAAATTTTCCAGATTTCAAACACTTTAAGGGTGGGGCGAAAGAAGGCGTTTCTATAAGGCTTCCAGCACTTAAACGGCATTTAGCAAATATTAGTTATTTCCGCTATTACCTGGTGAATCTTTCGCCAGGCGCTTCCTGGACCGGGTCTTTGCGGCCCGAAACCTACCAACGCATTATCCTTGGACGTGCCTCCGGCCTGGCGTCCCCCGCGCCGCGACACAGGTGGAACGGGCCGTGACGTCACGAGACCGCGACTCAATCAGACGCGGCGTTTGGGAAATTTTAAATTTAAAGGCGGGGTGGCCCGTAAGCTCTGAATCGCCGGACGCGGAGGTTTCTGACGTATTCCCTGGGATCCAACCAGGCAGGATGGCGGAGGAAGGAGCCGTAGCGGTCTGCGTGCGGGTTCGGCCGCTCAATAACAGGTAGGTAGGCCAGACCGAGCCTAGGTCCCCACTGCGGACTCTGGCGCCGGCATGAACCGGGGGAATGAGTCCTGGCTCCTCTTCCTTAGCTGCCTAGAAGCTCGGCCCGCTTTGTGCCTCGGTTTCCTATCTGTAATGAGACGGGGCAGGATCGAGGATCTAGAGGATCATTTTCAAGTGTGGAATTCTGTTATATCTGTAACCCAGGCTCGCCGACGTTAAAGACCCTACTCCCTGCGCTGCACTACCGTCGCCCATCTGGGGTCCCCACCGCTCCCCTAGGAAAGTCGAAATCGGAAAGATCCTACTGCACTCATCACAGTGCAGTTAAATTTTACGTCTAACTGACTCTCGCTTCCGCTTTACTGTATACTCCTTAAAAGCGAAAACGAATCAGTTTTGTTGCATTGTATTCGGTAGACACTTATTACTTCAGTCAATAACTGAATTCCGCATTCAGAATGTTGAATGAACGATATTCATCAATATTGATTTATTTTTTAGTACAGTGTACGGTATTAAAACAGACACTACCATCGTTGCCCAGTGGATCTCACAACACAAAATAGATAAAAGATATAGAATATTAGGTGTGATACTGGAGTAATAAATGCTTTAGAGAAAAAGCAGGAAGGGGAAGCAAGGAAAGTCTGTTTGCTATGCCTGTCTTGGGTCCTCGCCCCAGAATGCTAGCACAGTTTTGTCTCTGAGAAACATTTGTTAAATCTTACTGGGTGCTTAATAAATGAGAATATCAAGATGAGGAATTTCCTATTTTTAATAAGCTTATTGATGCATTAGAAGACAGCTACATGAAGAAACCATTATAATATTTCCTGACAGATGTTACGATAGACAGTTAAAGAATGTTTGCTAGCAAAGTCACTAGTCCTTGAGTGAGATGACTGTAGGGGAGGAACAGGGCAGTGTCGGGGAACACCTGAATCATGAATGAAAGAACAGTTAAGGTACTTAGTGGAAACCTCAGTCAGGGTATTCCAGGCAGGGAAAGGTTGAATATGATTTTGGGAGTGAACTTTGGGTAGTTGATTTGTCTGGGAGTTAAGGTTTATACAGAATTTAGAGGAAGATAAGATTGAAGAGAGAAATTATAGTGATAGAGGTATCATGTACCAAATTAAAGATTTCAGATGGTTTTTAAATGTTTTAAGAGAGAGAGAGACATATCAACTGCCACTACTGGATAGAAAGGTGGAAGTGAAGAGTTTCACAAACTGCATGAAAGTGCAGGAGGTCACTGAAGCCCCATTTAAAAGTGTTGCCCCCTCAAAGGTAGATTTTCCACATTTATCTTATTTATGGTATAAGTCATTACAGTCTTTTAAAATATTTATCAGATGATGAAGTCTTTGTACTATCTCTCATAAAACACAGCTTCTATGATCAGTTATTCTAAAATGCAGTGTTTTTATTCTTTTAGAGAAGAAGCACCTGAAAAAGATATTCAAGTGTACTGGAAAACTGACAATAATACAGTTTATCAAGTTGATGGGAGTAAATCCTTCAATTTTGGTAAGTTCATAATAGCATCAAAAGTTAACCTGGTATCCTTTTTCTGTTATGGGTATAAAAGCCTTATGAATAACACTGGATTTGTCACTAAAGATCAAACCAAGCCTTCAATAAACTGTTGCAGTGGAAACTTTGAGAAATTGTTCATCCATCATTTATAAGCTAATAAATTGATGCTTAAATACAGTAGTCGTAAAAAAGAAAAAGGAATTTAAAAATTATAAACACATACACTATTACTGTATTCACAGTAGCTTATGACTAAAACTAACAGTCTTCCTCTTACTCATGAGAGTACTTGTAGCCTAAAATTCTGTAAGCCCAAAGTATGTTGCTTAGTGTCGAGTCATCTTTAAGATCTTCCAATTTGTTTTCATCATTTTGGTTTTTTGTTTTTCAGCTATTTTCAAAACTCTTTAAAGAATAAATAGTGAAGATATTGCTTCTTTATCTGCTAGAATACAGCAGAGACCTACCTCTGCTGTTGTAGAGCTTACATAATGGAAAGAAAGGCTTTAAACAAGTAGTTTCACTTATGCTGACATAAGCTTTTGCGGAGATCTAACTAAACTGCTGAAGCTCCAATACTTTGGCCACCTCATGCAGAGTTGACTCATTGGAAAAGACCCTGATGCTGGAAGGGATTGGGGGCAGGAGGAGAAAGGGACAACAGAGTATGAGATGGCTGGATGGCATCACCAACTTGATGGACATGAGTTTGAGTAAACTCCGGGAGTTGGTGATGGACAGTAAGGCCTGGTGTGCTGCGATTCATGGGGTCGCAAAGAGTCAGACACGACTGAGCGACTGAACTGAACTAAACTTGGTGTCTGGAATGGTACCATTTACACCAGGACCTGCAGGATGAGTGAGAGCTAGCTAGAACAGAGGGACTTCCAGGCTCTGATAATTAACTAGACTGATTTGTACATTGATTGAGCATGTATATAGTGCTGACAGCTATATAGCAGTGCCACAGTGCCAGGCACTGTTCTAAGCGCTTCATATATATTCCCTCGTTTAACCCTCCTAACGAGCCTATGTATTTGGTGCCTTCCTGTTTTAATGAGGAACTGAAGCAAAGTGGCCTGGAGTCACATAGCCTGCAAATAAGAGAGAAAGGCTCCAGATCTGTATTCTAGCCACACCACCATGCTGCCATTTAGACTCCATAGAGCGACAGTGACATCCTCTGAACAACCTCAGCAGGAAGCGTGGTTAAGTTGTCAAATTAGTGTGAAACTAGAAAGCCACAAAGATGTGTGGAAGAGAAAATGAGTTCTGGTAATGGAATGTTTGATGGTATTAACATAATTTTTTTTCAAACTTTGTTTTGTGTTGGGGTATAGCCAATTAATAAAGTTGTGGTAGTTTCAGGTGGACAGTGAAAGAACTCAGCCATACATATACATGTATCCATTCTCCCCCAAATCCGCATCCCATCCAGTCTGGCACATAACATTGAGCAGAGTTCCTTGTGCTATACAATAGGTCCTTGTTGGTTATCTATTGTAAATGTAACTGTGTACATAACCTTCCGAAAGTCCATAACTCTCCCTCCCCCCTGGCAACCATAAGTTCGTTTTCTAAGTCTGTGAGTCTCTGCTAGAGATTAAAAAACCTGAGTACCGCAGATTCTCAGTAGCCATATATGCCCATAAAGAATCTGGACTCATCCACGTATCTGAACCACATAATGTTAAGGTTTGAATCACCTGCCATTTCTCCTTGCTCTGAGATGGTGACCCGTAAGCAGCCTTCAGATGACACTTAGGTTTTCCACATTGTTCTGCCAATAGGGCAGATGTGTGGTCGCCGTGCAAGAAGTATAATCACTGAACTGTTGATTGCAGGTCAGTAATTTTCCCTCCTGATTTACAAATCCATTTCTTGCGAGCTCTTTAAGGTGAGGCCACCACTAAAAGAGTGGTCTATTTTTAATGTGCTAACCAAAGCAGAGAACCACATCCTGGACTTGTGAATTCATCAGTGTAAATCCTACTCTAAACACCAGCCTTCAGCAGCCAGCTCGTTGATCATTCCCCGTAACACTTCAGCTTTGGTCAGTTCTTTTCCTCCAGATATCTGAATTTCTTGGTTTAGTTTGAGCTAGACTTTCTTGCTAGGTATGTTAGGAACATTAGAATTTCTCAAAGACCAGTAATATTAGTAGTATAGTAATAGTAGGAATCCTAAGTGTTAATATATATAAGTTCACAATAATTCTATGAAGAAGATATTATATGTCCATTTTACAGATTAGGGAACTGAGGCATGGAGACATCAACCACTTGCCCAAAATCACACAACCTGTAAGTGGCAGAATCAGGATTTTCAGTCTTGAGTCCAGATCCCCATATTCAGATTCAGCCACCATGCCCTACTGCCTCTTGAAAGCACATAGGATAATAGACTTGTATTTTTTCTGTGTGAGGACCAACACATTTTACCTAAAGAGAGTATTTTCATAGGACCAATGAGTTGAAGAAAATATTGTACCTTAAATATTCTATCATACCATATCCTGACAATTTTATTTCTTTGGGCAACTACTAATTCAGAATGAAAATACAGTCAATTTGTTTGGTTTAACTTAAATATGTTTTTTTTTTTTTAGATCGTGTCTTTCATAGTAATGAAACTACTAAAAATGTGTATGAAGAAATTGCGGTACCAATCATAGATTCTGCCATCCAAGGCTACAATGGTGTGTATTCACTGCAGAAACATTGCAGTCTTTGGTGTCTGTTCAGCAGGTATCGATCATTTTCTACACTGTAGATTCATTTGTAATCTCTGCATGTGTGTGTTTTGTTTTTGCAGGTACTATATTTGCCTACGGGCAGACTGCTTCAGGAAAAACATACACCATGATGGGTTCACAAGAGTATTTGGGAGTAATACCCAGGGCAATTCATGACATTTTCCAGAAAATTAAGAAGGTAAACAACTTAGCTAAGTTTCTAGTACATACAGGTGAAAATAGTGATAATAGGATAGCAACTGTACTGTTCTCTTGTAATGATGAAAGGAAGTATATTTACAGTTACAATTCTCTTAATTATCCAGGGGGAAAGAAGGAAGGCATAGCATAGATTCATTTTTTTTGCCCCATAAACTTACTTAGGAAACTTAAAGTTCTTTTCCTTGAATCATGAAACAGTACTCCCTCCAAACAGTGGGCATTAAGGAGCAGGAAAACCTTATCACAGTTGCATCCTTATTGCCTTTGTTTAGCTACCAGTGATTATTAAGGAGCAGTAAAAAGTAGACTAGATAAAAGACAAGGAGAGCAGAAGGCCAGAATAGGCAACCTAATTAGTTAAGAGTTGATTTTAAATTACTTTTTCATCATTATTTTAATTATTTTTAATTTCTTCAATATATACAGGTTGAGTTTTATATTGAAGTTAGAGAGTTGGATGGGGTACTTTCCTGTTACAATTCTATGATACTATTGGTTATTTCTGAAACTGTTTTTATGTTTTTTGTTGTTATTATTGTCAGTATAGAAACACAGGGAGAATTTTTTTTTGGTTTTTTGTTTGTTTTACAAAGATAATTTGTTGAAAGACAAATACCACATGACTTCACCTCTATGTAGAATCTAAAAAAAACCAAAATGAACAAAGAGAAACAAACTCATAGATAACAGAGAACAAACAGGTGATTGTCAGAGGGAACAGAAGTTGGAGGGATGAGAAATAGGGTAAGGGAGATTAAAGGGTATAAACTTTACATTAGAAAATCAATGAGTCACAGAGATGAAATGTGCAGAGTGGGGAATATAGTCAATAATATTGTAACATCTTTGCATGGTGACACATGGCAATGAGACTTCTGTGATCATTTGGAAATATATGGAAATAGTGGCCCACCGTGTTGTGTACCAGGAACTAACATAGTGGAGTGGGTCAACCACACGTCAGCTAAAAAATAAACTAAAATTTTATAAAGGTGTTTTCTTAAAGAATATTTTAATATTTAATATTAGCACATGAGCATTCGTTATTAGGTTTTCATAACTGGATGATCTCTGAAGTCACATATCTTTTTCTTCTAGTTTCCTGATAGGGAATTTCTCTTACGTGTGTCTTACATGGAGATATACAATGAAACCATTACAGACTTACTTTGTGACACTCAAAAAATGAAGCCTTTAATAATTCGGGAAGACTTCAATGTGAGTAACAGAATTAACAGGGTGACTCAAAAGTTAGATATACCAATTGGGATTATTTTTTCTTGAACATTTGCCTTTACTTTCTGTATACTTTAAAGTATCTCCTGTTACTATGGTTTGTTTTTTATTTTCTTTCTTAGACACTTAAAGAGATTATCTCTTAAGTAATATGTATAGTTTTTAAATATTGACAGTTATAGTATTTTGGTGTAAGTTCTTAAAAAGAGCAAAGTGGAACTATCAGGTTAGAATTTGGTATACTTTGGCATAGGAAATGCATTGTAAATATCAGAAGTATACTTATTATTTTTATACAGAATAAAAATCCCCATTTTCCACGTAACATCCACAAATGAACTCTATGATAGTTTGTACTTTCTTTTTTGAAATGCGAACTTTTAAGTGACTTATATTTCCCTACTTTTACCGTAATTAAACTTGTTTCAGAGGAATGTGTATGTGTCTGACCTCACAGAAGAAGTTGTTTATACATCAGAAATGGCTTTGAAGTGGATCACTAAGGGAGAAAGTAAGACTTTGTACTATATTTCTTCAAAACACTTATAGAAACGATTTAATTGAATGTATTTGACTTTAAACCACACTTTTCACTTTTCATCTAAAATACAAGTTAGTGTTTTTCTTTGGATTTTAATACACACAGCTGAAATGTGACTCTCTTACAGAGAACAGACATTATGGAATTACAAAAATGAATCAGCGAAGTAGTCGTTCTCATACCATTTTTAGGATGGTAGGTAATTCTCTCTATATTTTGTCTTTCCAATTAAGAATACACTAATTTTTCTATAAGTTGCCTTTTCTTTCTAGATTTTGGAAAGTCGAGAGAAAGGTGAACCTTCTAATTTTGAAGGATCTGTCAAAGTGTCCCATTTGGTGAGTATTGAGGAGCCATGATAATGTACTATATGAGCCAAAGTAAAATTTAATTTAGCTGCTGAAGGTTTGGTTTCATAAGAACTATTGACTATTTGGCAAAAGCATCTATAAATTGGTAGTTGAGTCTCATCAGTAACATGAAATTACTAGCAGAAAAGCAGGAAGAGGTCAGAGGGTCTTACTTCCTGTGATCTTCTGCTGCCACTTCCTAAGCTTTAGATGTAAGAACTGCAGGAGTGGGGCTTTCCCCAACCAGTAATGGAGAAAGGGCTAATTCTGTGCACACTTAAGAGTTAATGTAATCTCGGGATTCGACGGGGTTTTGTTTTTTGGCCTCCACCAGTGCAACTGAGATTTGTGAGATGAATGAAAACCTGGGTGAGATAGTTAAAAAAAAATAAATCACATTACTCTAGTTTATGTTCAGTACCTATCTGTTGATAAGTGAATATAAGCATTATGCAAACAGTCCTTCTTGCTGAACTGCTTCATTTTTCTTTCTTCTTTTTTTTTTTCGTGCTTCCTATTCCTTACCATTATTGTTTTGTTCTCTGTCTTCAAGGCCTAAATTCTTTAGTTTGATGTGGGATATGATTTAAGATTACTGCATTTGATTTGAAAACTTCAGGGGATAAAGTAATAAATCGATAATATGTTTACTTTCAGATTTTGAAAACTCAGTTAAATATCTAATTCCAGTTCACCTTAGTTATTTTACCTTGTAAGTATAGCACTTATTTTAATAGACTGGTCTTTTAACAACAACAACAACAAACCTAACTTCTGTTTTGTTGTCCAAAGCTGGCCTGTGATATATCACTACAATTTTAACTTTTAATATGATTTAGCTTTACTAGTCTTGACATACTCAGTGATCCATTTGGTGTCTTTTCTCATATTTTTTGATGATGTATCATCTAGGGACCGTAGATACTATCTAACCCAACACCAGATTTGCCAGTTACTCTTAAGTATCTTATTGGAAAGAAGACTTCCCCAAAGAGTCATTTTCTGGCTCTTTAAAGATGGTTTTTTGGTTATGTGTTTTTGAGTGTCTCCTGGCCTTCCTGGAATAATAACATCCAAGTGCTCTCAGCCCAGGTCCTTTATTTTCAGGGTTTCTTTCCTCCTACCCTCCTAATCAAAGCACAAGAGTGTTCTGTGGCCTTTCTTCCCTTGTTTGCCCTCAGGCATTGTTACCATTTCTGTGTTGATGATGGTCAAGTATTTATTGTTTCTGAAGTCTCTGAGTTCTAAGTCATGTCTTTCCAAGCTTTATCCAAGTTTTTCCAAGCTTTATCAAGCTTCAGTGGGTCTAAAGCCAAATTAATTTATTCCTATCATAGTGAATATTCCTTTTACCAGTAGTACTTATATTGGAATTCATGCTGCTTTCCTTACCACTTTGCCCCTTTATTATGCCTCTGCCTAGATCATTTGTAGTAGATGCTATATAACAGTGATTAGATTTCTTTAAGTATTTTAGTGAAAACAGTACATATCTGAGACAGAACTGTAAAACAAGAGCACGTGATTATCTGCCCACTCCCCAAAGAAAGAAGTAATTTAAATCTCCTGTCTTCTTTTAATACATTAAGAATACTTACTGGGCTCTCAAATTAAAAAAAAGAAAGAAGACATCCCTCACTACTTGCTGTCTTCACTACCACCTCCCTAGCCCAAGCCACCATCATCTCTGACTTAGATTCCTGCACTAGCCTCCTGGTTGGGCTCCCATTGCCACCTGTGCCCTCTACAGCTCATTTTCCATCGAGGGGGCCACAGGTGATCCTTCAGAAAGTTAAATCAAAGCTTGTCACTCTTCTGCTTAAAATCCCGTCTCGGCTTCCCGTTGTATTTGGGAAATCCAGAGTCCTTATCCTGTTTACAGAGCCCTGAGTAATCTGACTCCTATTTCCTTCTCTTAACACTGTATTGTCCCATCTCCACTTCACCAACTCTGCCATGCTGCCTCTTCTATTTTATGAACATACCAAGCTCATTTCTATTTTGTGACTGGACATACTGGCTGCTCTTTTAATCTGGACTGTGTTTCCCTTGGTCTTGCATGGCTGCCTCCCTCTATCATTTCAGATCTTAGCTTAATGGGAAGCCTTCCCCTACCAAATCAGAGAACCTCCTCTGTCCCTTCTTCCCTCTTCCAGGACTATTTAAATTATCTTTATTGCACTTACCATATTCTGTTTCTCATTTCTTTGTCTTTTTCTATCTCTTCATCAATTTCCTCCTCTCATACACTCCATAGACAATATAAGCTCTATGAGGGCAGGGACCTTGCCATATCCCTAGCACCTAACATACTACCTGAAGCATGACAGTCACTTTTTTCAGCAATATCTGTGAAATGAAAGGAATTCGTGCTTTTAAAGATGCTGCAGTATAGTCAAAAACACATAACTAGCTAAACACAGTAAGTGTTGTAAGAATAAGTCATACCTATAATGATCTCTGGATGCACAGTTTAAGAGAGCAGCTCATTCAAGGAAAGGGAGGAGGAAGGATAAAATCAGCAAAGCTACATTGAGCAGGTAACATTTGCCTTGTCCTGAGTAAAGAACTTTAGAAATAACAGAGAATGGCATAGAGTAGCACTTGGAAGTGTAGAAGTATGTGAGGTATTCAGAAGTATGTGAGGTATTCATGCCACTTGAGGTACTCAAGTGAGTAGTTCCACTTGAGTTAGGCCTAAGTAATGAATAGATATAAGGCTGAAGCAACATAAGTGCCAGATTGCAAAATCACATTCACCATGATAAGGTTTTGAACTTTGTATACGAAATAGAAAACCTATTCTAGCAGCATTATGGAGGATAATAGAAAACCTATTCTGGCAGCATTATGGAGGCTATGTTACGTTACAAAGAAGGAACAAATGTTACAGATTGGTTTGACAAGGGAAGGCCTAAACGGTGGAGTGAGAGATGAGGTTACAGATGGAGTGTTCAAGTAAACTGTGTGTTTAAAATGTTCTTTCAGTAGGTTGGATTTTATCTCAAGTTATACTTTCTAAAGGTTCATTTCCATCCATCTTACAGAATTTGGTCGATCTTGCAGGCAGTGAAAGGGCTGCTCAAACAGGTGCTGAAGGTAAGGAAAACTCATGAAATACGACGTGGACTTGAGTGTCTTCTGGTTCTTTCGCAGAATAAAAGTGCTGCCATGCATTTTAGAAACTGATAAAGTAATGGTAATAATAATACTGTGATAAAAGTCCTCAGTGTAAAAGTAGCTTCTGTATCTGACCAGTTATCTCATTTGGGATACTATGTGTGTGTTAGTCACTGAGTCGTGTCCAACTTTTTGCAACCCCATGGACTGTGGGACCCCACGTGACCCACCAGACTCCTCTGTCCATGGAATTCTCCAGGCAGGAATACTGGAGTGGGTTGCCATTTCCTTCTCCAGGGAATCTTCACTGGGCCAGGGATCAAACCCAGGTCTCCCACATTGGAGGCAAATTCTTTACCGACGGAGCCACCAGGGAAGTCCTTGGGCTACTATACCATCAGTTTCTTAAAAAGTCAAACTATACAGGTTCTAGGATTGTATAGCTGAAGGGCTTATGAGAGTACCGTGAAAACCATCTAAATTTTCATAATCAGTAAGAAAATTCAGAAAGGTCATGGGGCACACAGTTAATATTCAGACATTAATAATTCTTAAAAACAACCAGCTACAATATTTAGTGTACAAAAAGATGCAATATACAATAATAGTTTAGAAGATGTAATACCTCAGAAGAAACTCAACAAAAATTGCACAGGACCAAAAAAAGAAAACTTCAAAACAGACCTGAAGGACATAACCAAATATTAATACATAAACAAATGGAAACACATACTTAGATGGAAAGGTGCAAATTAAAGATGTCAAGCCGCTCTCTGTGTTAATTTCCTGTAGCCTGACATAAAGTTACCCAGCTGAGCATGGCCCGTATCCACCAAATCAAACCTGTGAAAAGGAAATACATACTGTTGTTTCAAGTTGGCTTATTAAATAACAGTATTATGGCAGTAGCTAAATAATGCATCTGTGAAATAACAGCTATTCAGAGTTATTTGATGCGTTATTTTTTGTGTACATAGTAGATTGGAATCCTACATATCCCAGAGCCCTGGGTAAGTAATTTCTGGTACGTCCATACAGTGGAATTCTATGTTATAAAAAAGAATGAAAAAGACCAGTATTTACTAATCTGATATGTATATACTGCCAAGTGAAAAGAAGCAAAGTGCAAAATAGTATATATAGTATGCTACTATTTGTCTGAAAATTAAAGGGAGAAATGAGTGTATATGAACTTGTATTTAATATTAGAGTCATGTGTGCGTATTTAGTTTTAAAATTAAAGATTTTGGGGTTGTGAGTCCATATAGGAACTAATTTGGTTTTAAGTCTACAGTTGTCTGTATTTAAAGTTTTAAAAAAAACTAGATTCAAATGGAGTAATTAGAGGGGATCCTTTAGGAAGCGGACTTTTCTTCCCTCTTGTTCTTTTTTTATTTATCTTTTTTGTTGTGCTGTTTCTCTCAGCTGATAACCTTTCTGATTCACCTAGTAGGTGGGAGGGTAGGGAGAGAGCACCTCCATCAGTGATATTAAAGGTAGACTCAGATTTAGTCCAGAACAGAGACTTCAACATCTGTCCCTTTAATTTTTACTTTCTCTCATAATTTGCTGATAAATTCATCATCCAATACAGGACTCAATATTAGTTTTTATATTTGTGTAATAAATGCAGGTTTGCGACTCAAGGAAGGCTGTAATATAAATAGAAGTTTGTTTATTTTGGGACAAGTGATCAAGAAACTTAGCGATGGACAAGTTGGGTAAGTGTATCCCACTGTACATTTATCTGTTAATACTTATGTTTAAATTAAGTCGAAAATTTTAATAGTTTGGTGTGTGCTTGCTCAGTCATGTCCGACTCTTTGCAACCCCATGCCCTGTAACCTACCAGGCTCCTGTGTCCATGGAATTTTTCAGGCAAGAACACTGGAGTGGTTTGCCATTTCCTGCTCCAAGGAATCTTCCTGACCCAGGCATTGAACCCACATCTCTTAAGTCTTCTGCGTTGGAAAAGGCAGATTCTTTACCCCTGTGCCATGTGGGAATCCCTTAGTGACACTCAAAATATGTGTACCTGTTTCTTTCATATATTCAAAAGCTCCCATGACTCTGTGAGCATTTGTGGCTTCTTATACGTATGATCCTAGAGGAGATCAGTCCTGGGTGTTCACTGGAAGGACTGATGCTGAAGCTGAAACTCCAATAATTTGGCCACCTCATGCAAAGAGCTGACTCATTGTTTTCGACCCTGATGCTGGGAGGGATTGGGGGCAGGAGGAGAAGGGGACGACAGAGGATGAGATGACTGGATGGCATCACTGACTCATTGGACATAAGTTTGGATAAACTCCAGGAGTTGGTGATGGACAGGGAGGCCTGGTGTGCTGCGGTTCATGGGGTTGCAAAGTCAGACATGAGTGAGCAACTGAACTGAACTGAACTGAACTGATACATATGATGGTGTCCTACTAAATTTACTTTCTGTATTTTAAATATTTTTTTAGTTAATAGTTTCGATCTGCCCCATGTAACTTGTAAAGAATTAATTTTATAACTGTAGCTATTTTAAGGTTCTCCATTAAAAACCAACCAATTTTGTTATATAAAAGCTTTCTCTTTTTCTTCCCAAACTCATTTCTCATTAAGTGGTTTCATAAATTATCGAGATAGCAAATTAACACGAATTCTCCAGAATTCCTTGGGAGGAAATGCAAAAACACGTATTATCTGCACAATTACCCCCGTGTCTTTTGATGAAACACTTAGTACTCTCCAGGTGAGTGTGATTTTTATCTCAACTTAATATGAGGGGATATCATCTTTAAGAAGGAAAAATTTCCTACTAAAAATAGATATAGGTCTTTTAATTGACATACCATACCTGATAAAATAAGATTGATGTGTTTTTGCAAAATCACAAAATCCATTATCCCACCTCCACAATTTCTGCCACATTCAACACTATTTTACTGAAATTGACTTGATTTTTTATTTTTACAAACTCACTTATGAAAGGAAACTTTATATCAGTTCCATAAATGAAAAATTAATATCACTTACAACAAATAGAAGGTGACTGAAAAAACATGTGTATGTGTTTATAACAACAAAAAACTTCCAAAACTCCTGCTAGCTAATTGTTGCCTGTCTTTGCACTGAGTCTAGGTCCTGCATTTTATGTTTAAAGGAAAAAAGGAGGAGGGTTGGGGTGGGGGAACTGAATTGCTGATAGAATAACTGTCTCAATGAAGGATTCAGTGTCATAAATAATAGACACCTTCATGTACCCACTTAAAGTTACTTCTGATACACGCTAAGAAATACTGGTTTAAATAGCTACTGAGTACTAGATCTAAATACTGTCAGAGAAAAAAGGTAGAAAATAGAGTCACTGGCTTCACAGAATTTATAGTCTTACAGGGAAGACAAGACCTGTCTTCCAATGTGATTGCCTTGGATTAACGCTTAAGTGGCTAGTAAGTAGGATAGAGCTCAAAGAAAGGAGAAGGGCTTTTGATGGGAGCCCTACTGGCCTTGTTATGAGGACATAGAATGCTTTCTGTATTCAAAAGTATTAAACTACCTGGGAAGAGTACTGATTTTTTTTTTCTTTTTTTTTTTTACAAAACTTAATTACAAGAAAACCAAGTATTATTAGTTTTTGTGTGTGTTGAATGCATAACACTCTTGCATTTTTTCCCAGTTTGCCAGCACTGCCAAATATATGAAGAATACTCCTTATGTTAATGAGGTATCAAGTGATGAAGCTCTCCTGAAAAGATATAGGAAAGAAATAATGGATCTTAAAAAGCAATTAGAGGAGGTATGTATGAACCATGTAATTCAGTAAAGAGAAGAGACAGATTTAGAATTGAGATCTGCCTAAATGCCCAGAGATTCTGAAGCCATCACTAACTGAGCTCTGCAACCTAGATTTAAAACAATTTTCAACCAAGAAGAAATCAACTCATAAAAAAATTTAGTTTAATTTACTATAAACTAAAAGACTTGGTTTCCTGAAATTATCTTAGGTTTTGTTTTTCATTTTCAAAGGGTAAAATTTGGTGTTTTCAAATGGGCCAAGTTGAGAGAGCTTTTTTTAAAAATTATCACAAATACATAGGAAAAATTAGGTTAAAAAAGAGAGAGGCCATATATAGTTACCTGAAACTACTTTCCAGAGTTTCACATTATCTTGAATTTTTCTTCCAACCCTCGGATAGGAATTCAATAAAATAGGATAATCACTTAAAATTGTAATGTAATTTGTTTAACTGTTATGGCCCTCGATTTTGTGTAAACCTTGCATTCTGGTGATATTTTTAGGAATGATCTAAAATAACAAATGGTAATCTTATGAAAACATCTCTTCTTTTGCTGTAGGTATTCAAGTCTCTGCTTTTATAACCTCTCTGCCTTCTATTTATATATTTTAAGCAGTTAATAGATTTGCCTTAGCTGCATTGTAATAATTTTACACACAGCATATAGAATAATGACATGAGAAGAAATGGATATTTTATTTTTAGTTTGAGAAATTACTGACTATGATAACTGTGTACTAGAGTTCTGCACGTAGAGTATATTTTATTTCAATATAATTAAAATTCTCTTAGTTCACATGCAAATTTCTGTTCTTTTAAGCTACTTTCAAGGTTTTAAAATATAGCTACATTTATTATTAACATAATCCATTATTACATTCTATAGGTTTCTTTAGAGACTCGAGCTCAGGCAATGGAAAAAGACCAACTAGCCCAACTCTTGGAAGAAAAAGATCTACTTCAAAAAGTCCAGATTGAGAAAATTCAAAACCTAACAAGGATGCTGGTGACATCTTCTTCCCTATCATCGCAGCAAGAATTAAAGGTAAAATTTAAAAGATAACAGCTTAAACTTGGTATACAGAAAATAGAACTGGACATTCCTAAATATTGATTGCATAATTATTCATTTATAATCTTTTGATATATTATATTCAAGAAACCAAGAACCTGTTGTATATTTGAAGTTGTTAAAATTACAGATGTAGAAGTATTAATTCAAGGATTCAAGCTTACTACTTTAGTTTTCTTCTAGGAGTTTTATGGTTTCAGGTGTTAACATTCAAGTCTTTAGTCAGTTTCAACTGATTTTTATATATGAAAAAATCATATATTATATACATATGTATAGTAGTCCAGTGTAAGTGTATCTTACTTACGTGTAAGTAAGATAAAATCCCGTTTCATTCTTTTACATATGGCTGTCCAATTTTCCCAACATCGTTTACTGAGCAGACTGTCCTTTCCCTATTTTATCTTCCTGGTTCCTTTGTTGTAAATTAATTGATCATATATGTGAGGGTTTATTTCTGGGCTTCTATTCCATTGTTTTTATGTGTCTGTTTTTGTGGCACTATCATATGTATTGTTTTGATTGCTATAGTGTTGTAATATAGTTTGAAATCAGGAAACATGATGCCTCCAGCTTTGCCCTTTCTCAAGATTGTTTTGGCCATTTGGAGTCTTTTGTGGTTTACAGTCTACAGTATAGCCAAGGAATCTGTTTTTGATATGTTTCTTAAGAAATTCTAATACAGTTAATTAGCTGATTGGAAACCATGGGTGTCTGAAGTATATTGGAATATTTTCTGTTTAAAGAAACAAAAATGTTAATATCAAGAAAATGATTTAGACTATAGATCAACATAGTAATCAAAATTCTGACTTCTGATTTGTGTCTTTTTTTGTTTTTTTGAAGGCTTTATTTATCTGACAGATTTTTTTTATTTAAGAGAATAATAGCCTTTGGATTTGAACTCCCTGGGTGTGAATCCCAGTTCTGTCAATTCCTAACACTTAATTTTAGACAATATCTCAAATATACTTTGCTACAGTTTCCTTATCTGTGATATAATAGCTTGGTCCCTACTTCTTAGGATTGTTGTGAGAATTAAGTGAAGTAACATACAGTATGTGCATAATACTACACTTTACACTCAGAAATCCTCAATAAATGTATACTGCTAAGATTGTTACTGGGCTTTCCTGATGGCTCAGTGGTAAAGAATCCACCTGCCAACACAGGAGACGGTTTTGACCCTGTTCTGGGAAGATCCCGCATGCTGCGGAGCAACTAAGCCTGTGCTTTGCAGCTACTGAGCTTGTGCCCTGGAGCCCAGGAGCTGCAACTACTGAAGCCCGCCCCGAGCCCATGCTCCACAAGAGAAGTCCCTGCAGTGAGAAGCCCAGGAGCTGCAGTTAAAGGAGAGCTGGCGCAGCAACAAAGACCCTACATAGCCAGAAATAAATATGTTTTAAATATATATATATATTATCAATAGGTATCATGTACAGATCACCACACTAAGTATAGAGACACTCAAGATCTATTTCTTGACTGAGTGATGAGTAGAAAATAGCCCAGTGGAAGGTATAGGGAATAGTATTTCAGAAAAACACATATACAAAATCTTGAAATTGTGGGACAACAGTATATTAGACTTTCTGGTGGCAGGGACATGGTAAACCACATTAAGGGATTTGAACTTTGCCTTTTGCTAAAAGCCTTATATAGAATGTAGTAGGAATTGCATTTTGGAAAGGTGTGATTGCTATGTGCATCAAATTGATTTGGCCTCTACAAGGATTGTGGTTCTGAAGATGGAAGAAATTGGATAAACTGGAGAGCTATTTGGGAGGCAGACTGAACTGGACTTTGTGGTTGTTTGGATGCAGGGGCAAAGAAAGAGAGAAAGAGGCATCCTGAATGACTTGCAAGCATTACTAGACTTTCTGGGAAGTTGGTAGTGTTTTCACTGAATAAAGAGTAGTGGAGCTGCTCAATGTTTGATTCAGGACATCTCTATTTTAAGACATCAGGCAGTTGGAAATGTGAAAGCTCTGAGATGGAGATATCAGTTTAGGTATTAACTACAGCTGATCCAATTTAAAGTCCTGGGGATGGATGAGCTTGGCCTTGGAGCATGTTGAGAATGGAAAGAACAGAGGGTCAAACACAGAACCCCAAGAAACAACAACTTTTAGGCAAAAGCAGAATAAAAGAACCCCTATAGGAGCCCATGTTGAGCTCTAGAATTGAAAGGAAATCAGGTGAATGTGGTAAGCAAGGTCACATTCTGCTGAGAAGTTAAATGAGATACATATGGACAAAGATGCTTCAGATTTAGAAACGAAGCTTATTTGCAAAAGCAGTTTGAGTTAATGCGTTGGTAATAAAAACCACCTTGCTGTGGGTAGAGATGCCCAAAGGGATGGGATCTTGAATACAGTTGAAGAGTCTGGCATTAGATAGAAGGAGAAGCATCTATTCATTTCAACAAGGACAGAAGGAGGAATGCTTCTGTAAGTTTAGGCTTATATTGTCTTTGTGAAATAGGTTTAACTTTTCTGCTGAGATATCAGGAGATGGTTGGAGACACGTTCATAGACAGTGCTAAGAGTTTGAAATAGTATAGCACGTGGTGTTGAGCTGAAGGTCATTGGAGTGAAATATTTATATATAGCTGGGTTTTGCAGAGCAGGCTATGGAAAGGGCTGGCTGTCTCAAGCCTAAAGGTAGTGCGTGTAGGGACATGAAAGCAAGCAGTATATTCTAGGAACAGCAGTTAATTTTGAGATGCAGTGCAGTAGACAGAAATGATCCTGAAGAGACAAAGAAGTAGTAGATAAATGATGAGGAAGAAGATAGTGTATAAACTAAAAGAAAATGGTAGCTAGAGAGAAGTGAGGAGGCAAGAGTTTGTTTCTTTAAAAAATCAAAAGCAAATAAATAGGCTTGAGCATTTGTGAAGCCAAGAAGAAGGAGCTAGGGAAGGTGACAGATGACCAGATGACTGAGGGAGCAGAGCTGGGTACCCCAAAGTGCTGTCAATAGCTATGGGGTGGCAGCAGCAGCTGTCCGTTCCTTGCAACACCAGAGTACTTAAAGAGTTGTATGTCAACCAATTCCTTTCAGTTACGTTCCAGAAAAGCTTATACGTAAACCTTCAAATAAGACGTATAGTGTAATAGTTTCATCAAAGTTTTCATGGGGTTAAACACTGATCTGAAAAACTTGAGTATGTTTTCTTATCTCTGGGCATCCTTAAAACTATTAAGATACTAAACTCGACTTAGTAAAAATTCCACCAAAGCAATGGCTTTTTAAAATGGAAACTAGTTCCCTTGTTTTACAGTGTATGAGCCCCAATCTGTGTGAGGTAATTTTGATTTCTTTCTTTTTAGGCTAAAAAAAAACGAAGAGTCACTTGGTGCGTGGGGAAAATTAACAAAATGAAGGACTCAAACTACGTAAATGAATTTAATATGGCAGCAAATGTAACAACAAGAACACATAAGGCTGCTGTAAGTTTAGGAGAAATTGATGAATGTGAGTACTTTTCCAATTACTTTCATTTATAAAAGCATCCCTATAAAGAGGGACTTTTTTTTTAACTTTATTTTTTAATTGAAGGATAACTGTTTTACAGAATTTTTTTGTTTTCTGTTAAACCTCAACATAATCAGCCATCGGTGTACGTATGTCCCCTCCCTAAAGCAAGGACTTTATTTATAACTCAGTAATGTGATAAACACATTTAAATAAAATGTGTGTATTAATATTTTAAGTGTAATTACAATGGAGATAATGAGAAAGTTAAGTGATTTTAAGAAACTGAACATTCATGAAGTTTTCTGTTATTTCCAGATCTCTTATGAATGATGATGCATTGTAGTTGAAGCACACATTTTTGTTCTAATCATTATCCAGTTAAATTAGTATCCACATAACATCAGCCTTAAAACTACTAATCTTTTTCTTTCCATTTATTTTTATTAGTTGGAGGCTAATTACTTTTGAAAGAATTCCTGTGTTTAACACAGAAATCTGTTTCAGAATTGTCTCCAATGTAGTTATAAGTATTTTTTAGGGGCATTTTATTTATTTATTTTGCTGTGCTGACTTTTCTTTATTTGTTTTAATTAATTTATTTTAATTGGAAGCTAATTATTTTACAGTATTGTAGTGCTTTTTGCCATACATTGACATGAATCAGCCATGGGTGTACATGTGTCCCCCATCCTGAACCCCTCTCCCACCTCCCTCCCCATCCCATCCCTCTGGGTCATCCCAGTGCACCAGCACTGAGCGCCCTGTCTCATGCATCGAACCTGGACTAGTGATCTGTTTCACATATGATAATATACTTGTTTCAATGCTATTCTCTCAAATCATCCCAGCCTCTCCTCCCACAGAATACAAAAGACTATTCTTTACATCTCTGTCTCTTTTGCTGTCTTGCATATAGGGTCATTGTTACCATCTTTCTAAATTCCATCTCTTAACAAAAAAAAATCCATATATATGCGTTAATATACTGTATTGGTGTTTTTCTTTCTGATTTACTTCACTCTATAATAGGCTCCAGTTTCATCCACCTCATTAGAACTGATTCAAATGCATTCTTTTTAATAGCTCAGTAATACTCCATTGTGTGTATGTACCACAGTTTTCTTATCCATTAGTCTGCTGATGGACATCTAGGTTGCTTCCATGTCCTGGCTATTATAAACAGTGCTTCAATGAACATTGCAGTACATGTGTCTCTTTCAATTCTGGTTTCCTCGGTGTGTATGCCCAGGAGTGGGATTGCTGGGTCATATGGCAGTTCTATTTCCAGTTTTTTAAGGAATCTCCTCACTGTTCTCCATAGTGGCTGTACTAGTTTGCATTCCCACCAACAGTATAAGAGGGTTCCTTTTTCTCTGCACCCTCTCCAGCATTTACTGCTTGTAGACTTTTGGATAGCAGCCATTCTGACTGGCGTATAATGGTACCTCATTGTGGTTTTGAGTTGCATTTCTCTGATAATGAGTGATGTTGAGCATCTTTTCATGTGTTTGTTAGCCATCTGTATGTCTTCTTTGAAGAAACGTCTATGTCTCTGCTTTTTAATAAGCTGTCTAGATTGGTCATACCTTTTCTTCCAAGGAACAAGCATCTTTTAGTTTCATGGCTGCAGTCACCATCAGCAGTGATTTTGGAGCCCAAAAAAATAGTCTGTCACTGTTTCCACAGTTTCCCCATCCATGACCAGATGCCATGATCTTAGTTTTCTGAATGTTGAGTTTTAAGCCAACTTTTTCACTCTCCTCTTTCACTTTCATCAAAAGGCTCATGAGTTCTTCTTCACTTTCTGCCATAAGGGTAGTGTCATCTGCATATCTGAGGTTATTGATATTTCTCCCGGCAATCTTGATTCCAGCTTGTGCTTCTTCCAGCCCAGCATTTCTCATGATGTACTCTGAATATAAGTTAAATAAGCAGGGTGACAATATACAGCCTTGACATACTCCTTTCCCAATTTGGAGCCAGTCTGTTATTCCACGTCCAGTTCTAACTGTTGCTTCCCCACCTGCATACAGATTTCTCAAGAGTCACTTTAGAGAAGATGAAATTTGATGGGTGGGTGATAAGGAATATTCACTTGACAGTCTTAGATAATTTTGTTAGACTAGTAGAATTACAGTGATTCTTCTTTCTGTTGTTGTTCAGCATTTTTCTGAAATAGAGAATAATCGCTGAAGCAAAGTCCTAGAGGAGACTGAAAGGAAAGAATTAAGGGCACGTATGAATAGATCCACCTCAGAAAAAGCAGACACCTCATTTTCAGGAAGTACATGAAAGGTGGCAAGAATTGGTGGGGCTATGGATCAGTTGGTGTGCAGGCTGTACAGGTGGGAGGGCTGGGAGGTGAGATATGATTTACCTAACACTTGTGGTTTCTCAGTAAGGAGGATGAGACAGGACTGGGGAGAGTAGTCAAGGTTTGGAATGGTCAATAAGGTAAACTGGAAGGACATTCACCAGGACAAGGGAGGTAAGGTGCCCCTGTGAAGTTCTTATTATCTAATCCTAGAAGTAGCAGACTAGATGTAAGACAGGCTGGGAGGATAGTCTTACTTTCTGGCCAGAAAGAGAACAGATTATGGGGGACTGCCATCAGTCTCTGCAGCACTACGACCACCTTAGATTTTGTCTGTGACCTACATCACTTTTCCACCCCCTCGCACATCTGTACTCTACTTTACACTCATCTACACTCTATTTTTAAAAGTTTCTTCTTTTATGAAGACATTATAGACTTATCAAAGCTGAAAGGAACCTTAGGAATACCAATTCCCCCATTCTGTGGATGAGAAAATGGTGAGTCACAAAGATAAATGATTTTCTCATGAAGCAATAGTTTATAAGTAGTAAAATCAGACTAACCCAGGTGCCATACAAACCCTGTGTAACCATGATTATATAAAGAAAGGGATACTATGCCTGCAATCATCACAAATAGTTGTCACAAAATTAAGGCAAGACTCACTGCTGTCAAAATTAAACATTGTATCCACTAAACAAAAATTACTCCTGTTTGAAGGTGTAGCATGATACAAATATACTGCAATTGATTTTAAATGAGATGCCTATAAGAACTGAGTAATTTGAAATGATGTATATTTGTAATATCAGAATTTTCTCCAAATCCTAAAAATTGCTCTCTCCTCAAGAACTGAAAAGCACCATCCAGGCTATGCCATGCTTTTGGAAGGATTACAGTGCCCTCTGCAGTTTCAGCAGAAATAAATACAATCACAACCGTGATTTAAAAGAACAAAACAAACAAAATCAGGAATCTGAACACCAACATAGAAGTGTACTCAATTAACACGCCTCAGAAATTCACTTTACTTTTAAAGGTTAAATTAAAATACTTATGTAAAGATCACTTTTTAAACAAAGTGCACTGCAGCACGTATAAAGTGAACTGAAGTGAAGTCGCTCAGTCGTGTCTGACTCTTTGCGACCCCATGGACTGTAGCCCACCAGGTGCCTCCATCCATGGAATTTTCCAGGCAAGAGTACTGCAGTGGGTTGCCATTTCCTTCTCCAGGGGATCTTCCTGACCCAGGGATCGAACCCGGGTCTCCTGCATTGCAGGCAGACGCTTTACCGTCTGAGCCACCAGGGAAGCCCTATAGCAGGTATCTACTTGTGTAAAAAGATACACAATATAGAAAAAGATACATATATGTGTCTAACTATAGGTTAATTTGATGATAATACTCTAAAATATGGCTCAGTTGCCACCAGAGACACAAACTGGCACCCTAGGGATCATATGTGGGAAGACTATTTCCACTGTGGCTCTTCTGGTACTGTTACTGAGTCTGAGCTCATTCTGCTCACCAAAAGACAGGCCAAGGTGTTGAGGCAAGGAATATGTCTTTTCATAGAAACCTGGCTGACAGAGATGATAGCAGACTAATGTCTCAAAATAACCGTTTTATTGGGGTTTGGATGTCAGGTTCTTTTACAGATCAGAGATGGGGGGGACGTAAGGGGGAGAAAAAAGGTCATTAATCTTGCAAATGTGTCCTAGAATGGCAAGCCTGAGAGTTCAGTTCAGTTTCTTAGTCATACCATCTCTTTGTGACCCCATAGAATGCAGCATGCCAGGCCTCCCATCCATTACCAACTCCCAGAGTTTACTCAAACTCATGTCTATTGAGTCAGTGATACCATCCAACCATCTCGTCCTCTGTCATCCCCTTCTCCTCCTGCCTTCAATCTTTTCCAGCATCAGGGTCTTTTCAAATGAGTCAGCTCTTCACATCAGGTGGCCAAAGTACTGAAGTTTCAGCTTCAGCATCAGTCCTTCCAATGAATAGTCAGGACTGATTTCATTTAGGATGGACTGGTTGGATCTCCTTGCTGTCCAAGAGACTCTCAAGAATCTTCTCCAACACCACAGTTCAAAAGCATCAATACTTCAGCAGTTTTCTTTATAATCCAACTCTCACATCTATACATGACTACTGGAAAAACCATAGCTTTGACTAGACAGAATTTTGTTGGTAAAGTAATCTCTCTGCTTTTTCATATGCTGTCTAGGTCGGTCATAACCTTTCTTCCAAGGAGCAAGAGTCTTTTAATTTCATGGCTGCAATCACCATCTGCAGTGATTTTGGAGGCCCCAAAAAATAAAGTCTGTCACTGTTTCCACGGTTTCCCCATCTATTTGCCATGAAGTGATGGGACCAGATGCCATGATCTTAGTTTTCTGAATGCAGAGTTTTAAGCCAACTTTTTCACTCT